TAGGCCATGAGTGGCATTTTTGAATGATACTAACATTAATAAATGGTCACTGCAGAGACCCCAAAGGCTCATAATGGATACAGCCCTGGGTAGGGCACACCTAGAAGCTAGGCTGGGTGATAGGGGCACATTGCCATCACACTTATCTTAGATGGCTGAGAAGGGAACAACCCTGTGGATACTGACTCAAACTGTGATTTGGAGCATGGACTCTTGATTGATGCTGAGATGGTAGTGTTTTATCCCAAGTCAGGCTTTGGAGGATGTATTCATCAGCATTATTTAGAGAAACAGATCATCAGGGGCAGGATTTATGAGAAATGGGTTCACATGGTAACAGCAGGTGTTGGTTCCACAATCCTGGAAATATATTCAGAGTCCTGTTGTGGGTCCAGAATGTTCAGTCTCATTAAATGTGAGGGGCACGGGGCTCTCCTGTACATTAGGCAGTCTGCTGAATGCTTGATGCACCTACTAGGGATCAGGACACAGAATTCCTGCCACATACATGGGATCTCATTGATTTTAAGAAAATACCAAAAGACTGAGTGTGTGTGTGTGCTGGACCATGTGAGGAATCTTATCATGCAAGATGAATGTCTCCCTGATCATAGGTGTTTCTATATTGATATAAAAACTGAACTCAGGACTGGGCAAGAAAGAAAGAAAAAAACCCGAGAGCCAAGATGGTAACAGCATGACTCTGAGCACTAGAGAACTGGTGGGGGCAGCAGCTCGAGGAGCAGGGACTTAAAACTTGACTCCAGGGCCTCCTCATTTTATTAAGAACCTTGGCGCTTCCATGTGGATCTCAAAATTCTGAACCCAGGATGTGGCAATTAAGAGGAAAAGTAACCAGGGAGCCAAGATGGCAACCGGAACTGTGCCTGCCTGGCTGCCCACATGTGCCCTGGAGTTGGGTGGAGCCATGCTGGCCACTCGTGCCTTTTCTCATGTTAAGCTGCTCCTGCCTTCTGGGCACTGCTGGGTGTTCTTCAGACAGCCCTGACAGCTGTGTACTCTGGGACCTCTGTGATAAACCTGTGTGATACACCTGAGTGCATTGGTCCTTACACTTTCCTGTGTAGGAAAGATGTGAGGCAGGTTTTTGGCTGGTAGAGCCTTAAAGCACAGCATGACCTCAGCACAGCACCCGAGTGGTACATGGCCTTAAGTTTGTCCACCCCATTTCTACCTTGCTGTTCCCTTGGTCTTCTGCTAACAGGGGACTGTGGTGCTATAAACTGAGTCTTGGTGGAAACCTGTCCCTCTCATCTGAGGTGCTGGGACTTTTCACAGCATGTAGGCTTAATGAAATTTCAGGTAGTCCTACTCCTTGCCCAGAGGATGCATCAGAGACAGCAGCTACCTAGGAGGACAGTCCAGCTTGGTACAAGGAGAGTCTAGGTTTGTGTTGAGTGGAGAGTCATCTCTCCTACCCCTCTTCCTCTTCTCTCTATCTTTTTTGCAGCCATCTCCCCCTGCTCTGCCTGGGGCCCACCTCTCTATCTGTTGAAGATCTAAAATAAACTTTATTTAGCCTTAAAAACACTCTGAAAACTTTAGCCAAAATTCTGGAACATCTCTGCACCACCTGGTTTGCTAAGCTTTATCCTTGACCACAGCAAATCCAGGGGAGGATGACAGCAGGGATGGCGGGCCTCCTGATCAGAGACACCACTCTGATGTAGGAATTGATGTTACTGGGGTTGGGAGCAAAGAGGGTGCCACTTTCCAGGCATATAGCACCCCCTCCAAGAAGCAGAGATAGCCCAGTCTTCTCCCTTCTCCTTCACCAAGAACGCTTGGCTGAACTGAGGCATGTGACCCCCAGCAGTCACTAGTGGTGTGTGCAGCCCCCTAACAGCACAGGGTTCCACCCAGGGCCAACAGTTTGCTGTGCCTGATTGGTGTGAAGAAAGGGAAATGCGTTAGCTAGGAGGTGGGTTATCCAGGGAATCCTACGTTCGGTTTCAGTTACCTTCATGGTAGCTCTTCAAATTCTTGCTGTCCAAAGAAACTTCAAAGGTGCAGAAAATAAAAGTGAAAGCCTCGTTAGTTCCAGTTGACTGTGATCACTTGTGGACTCCTTGAGGTGTCCCTGAGAATCTCAAAAGTGCCTGAGTTTCCTGGGGGCTACAGACCTGCCAGCCTCTGCAGTTGAGTGGGAAGGTTGAGGGCTGGCACGACACCGGGACACCCAGGGTGAATTTAGGTCGAGCTGGGCACTGTGCACAGCACTCTAGCACATTTCCGAGGCGCGAGAGCTGCTGTGCTTCTTCCAGCCCAATAGCCTCAGCAAGGCTGGTCGAAACCTGTTTTGGAGGGCACCCTGCTCACTGCCTTGGAGCCCGGCTGGGCAGAGGAAGTCCTACAGACAAGCAAGCCCCTGTCAGGTAGCCCTGCCTCCGCCTTGAAGAAAGCAGAGCGCAGTGGGGGGCAGAGGCTTGGAGGCCAGTGGCCCTCAGGTCTGATGCGCTGCGCCCATTTGCTGGCCTTTGGGCGCCTGCCCTCCAGCTGCGCCCGGTGAGGCTGCGGTGACATCTCCACAACTCCCACCAGCTCCAAGAAGGAGCCGCCGCGGCCATCTGCTGCAGGCGGGAACGCCAGGCTCCACAGCGCGCTCCTCACCGGCTCAGTGATCCACTTTATCCCCTCCCCTCCAGGCCCCGCCTCGGGACTCGGCCCCACCCCATCCCTTCCCCTCGGGTCCAGCCCTCCACCTCCACCCCCGCGCCGGCCGGGCGGGCCCCGTTCGCTCGCACGCGATGGCAGACTTCGCGTGACGCTTGTGGCCGCAGGAGGAAGCCGGCGGCGCCAGGGCACGCGATGGGGGCGGCGGAGTCCCAGGAGCTCAGATCTGGACTCAGCCGCGCCCGTAGGGTGGGGGGCAGACTTGGTCGAGGGCGGGGCTGGGGACCGCTGTGGATCTGGCCCACATCTGGCTTGTGCTTCCGTGGGCGTAGCGCCCCTCTACAGTAGTCCTGGCCCCGCAGCCGCCCTGAGCCAGGTCGGCGGGAAACCCCGTGTGGTAGAGTGCACGCTGGGAACGTGGTCCTCCGCAGGGAGGCCGGCAGGATCCTGTGGATGGGCTGGAACCCCGCCCGGCTGGTACAGGGGCCCCTGTGGGATCTACACAGGCCGAGCCTGCTTGTTCTGTTCCCCCTCTCCCCAGCACTAGGGAACATGTAGTGGATGCAGCATCTCAGTTCACTGAGCATGCAAGACACATGGTACTGGGGTGGGGGGTGGGGGTTGCCCTTCAAGGACACTAGCGCCTCTGCGGATCTGTTAGCCTCCTAGTTCCCCATCGCCATCACCACAGGGAAAGCAGAGTACTGCATGAACGCAGAGTACATACACTAAAGTGGACCCCTCTGAGGTGTCCCGAGGAAACTCAATCTGGAAACTCAATGTGTCCCTGACTTTCAGGTGAGAGGCTCAGGCTGGGGGCACTTGTGACAGAAGACTGCTGGGTGGGCTTCAAGGAGTCTGGTTCTGCCTCTTTGCCCTAGAGATATCCAGAGACTCGGGTTTCTCAGGAGGGATCTGCTTTCTTCACTTAATGCAGCGAACAGAAACCAGTCTTAATTGTGGGAGTCCAGGATAATAAGAGAGAGAGACAAAAGACACCAGGGATCAAAGTTCACGCCACAGCCACAGTGGGCTCATAGTCTCCTGGGCTCCCTCTGGGGAGGGTGGCCTGCTAAGCTGGGCTTTTTATCCTTGTCAATACCCTTGTATTTGGACAGGATGATCTGAATATTCCATGGCCTCTTGGGGGCATGCCAGCCCCAAAGAGGCAATAGCTTTGGGTGAGGATAAGGGGTCTCCTTACATATAATGGTCCCAGGTAACCCTAGAGGGCCAAGAGCAGGTTGATTGGGAGGTTTGTTAAACAAGCATCTGGATCCCAGAGTGGCAGTGTTGGCTGGGAGCCTGAATTCCCAACAAGTTCCAGGGATGCCTCAAGCCTCTGGGGATGCTGAGAGCTCCAGGAAAGGGGAAGTTCAGTTTCATGGAACTAGCTGACAAGAGACTGGTAGGAACCACCTGGAAAAGGAGGCATGGAGTCACAGTGAGGCTCAGACTGTAGACAGTCACTACTCTTAGACATCAGGGGATACCCAGGTCAGGATGACTGATAGATGATACAACTTTGATTCAAGAAGTGCTTTCATTAATATGCCTGGCCCAGAAGCCCCATCCTTCACAGGCAATGAGAGTACTTTTAAGGATGTTGTAGCCCTTGACAACAGGACTTTATGTCCCAGACTAGGCTCTCCTGGATAGTGGAGTGGGAGTCTGTAGCAGACCTAGAACATAGCTCAGTAAGAAAATACTGTCTACCTGTTTGAACCTTGAATTGTTCATCCTAAAGTGAGTAGACCAGACTTGGATAGGGTACCAGGAAAGTGGGCATCTTCATGGGCCCAGGAGCATTTGAGGGAAGGGTGAGCATCCTCAGGGGCCTTCCTTTGCTGCCGGGTGAGAGTATTTGGCCTCATTGAGGGGAGGGCATGGGAGATGATGGACCCACTAGGCTTTGGCCTGACCTGGCCTGAGAAGGGATGTGCGCCAGTGCTGTTAGGATCCATTGGTACTTGGGTCTCAGGAGGTAACAGCAGGAACTTTGGTCATGGAGGGGCATCTAGCAGGAAGCTAGCCTTTGTCTCAAGGTTGAGTAGGGTGGGGAAATTAAGAGCATCTTCCAGGGAGCAGTGTGGGGCAGGGTAGTTCTTGGGTTTGGGCTCAATTTCACATTCTAGTTACCCCTCCATGCTGGCTTGGGGCCTGGACTGGCTCCTTCTACCAACTCTGTGGACCACACAGCTTCCCAGGGCTTCATGGATATCCTGCATGTCCTTCACAGGATAATATCATAGCCCAGGCTGGACATCTAGTAGGAGCCATGGGGATGAGGCTAGGGAAACACAAGAAAAATGTGACTTAAGGCCTGGATTCTGCAAAGGGTTCACCTATGTATTTTTCTATGACAGTCTTGCAGGAAACGCGTGCATGGCCAGCCCAGGCCCTCTCACCCAAAGACCATCCATATGGAGGGTTCCCTGTGCAGGAAGGACGGCTGCTGCTGGAGGTGAGTGTCCATATAATTTCAACCCCACGCAGCAGAGAGAGAGAGAGAGAGAGAGAGAGAGAGAGAGAGAGAGAGAGAG